CAGCCAGCCCGCCCGCCGCAGACAGGCCCGCCGGGTCGCCCGTACCATCGGACGCCGCGGCCGCCGCCTGCAGCCCGGTGTAGTCGGCCAAGGCCACCGCCAGGCCAAGGATGTCGCCCACCGACAGGGGATCCGCCCCGGAAGCCGGACCCGAAGTGAGGGTCAGCTCCCGACTGAAGACCGACGTCAGCGACACGAGCAAGCGCGCGCCATGTGCCTTGGCAAAGGCGTCCAGCACCGGCTGCTCCGGGCGCTGGCCGTCCGGCATCGCATCGCACATCGAGCGGAGGAGCTCGTGCAGCAGCGCATGCGTGCAACTCCGAGCGGCTGAGCAAAGCGCCATGTTAGCATGTGCGTATGCATGTGTGTGTGTGTGTATCTGAGTGAAGCATGCGTTGCTCCTGTCGAGGGCGAATACGGCCAAAAGGATAGCAATTGTCCGAGCAGCTCTTCCCCCCCGCTCCCGCCCCACATCGCCCTGTGCGCGCACCAAAGTTCGGGCTCGAGAGATTCCCCACCGCCAGGCTGAAGAGCTGGCTGGCCGAGCTCGGCAGCGGGCTGCTCCAGTCGTAGGGCTGCACCGGAGCCTGGGCAATTCGCCCGGCCGTATCAACCAGCACGGCCAGATGGTGGCGCGCGGTGGCCGCATCCGACCCGGTGCCAGCCAAGGCCGTCATGATGCGCAGGGCTGACAGCGAGCAGGCCAGCCGGTCGGGCAGGGTGTCAATCCGGCGGATCAGCACGTCAGCCAGCGACAGCAGGGCACGACGCAGCTTGAAGACCGACGGCTCCGGGTCTTCCACCAGGGCCGCATCGGCGTCGGCGGCGGCCGGGTCCACATGTCCCAGGGACCAGTGGCCCAAGCAGTACTCCAGCATCTGGACCGTGCGCATGCGCACCAGTGAGGGGCTGGCGCCATAGCCTCCGACACCGGCCTCCAAGAGGCTGCTGCTGAAGGACCGCACGCTGCTGGCCGAGGAAAGGGGCGACCGGTCGGCGCTCAGGGTATCACTCATCAGCAGGACATCCCACTGGTACTCCCCCCGGGCCGGCTCCTCCTCACCAAGGTCCGCCAGGTACAGCGCGTGGTCTTCGGTCTGCGGCAGGGCGAAGGGTGCCGGCGGCTCCTCGGCCCCGTCATCAGCTGACGGCGGGGCCGCATCGAAGGCTGTCCGCAGGACCAGCACCAGATCCAGCGTATTCCGCAGGAGGGTGGCATTGGCCAGGTCGCCGGCCTTGAGGGCGTCGATCCGGTCGATCAGGCAAGCCGACAGAACGTGGGAGTTGCTTGCCTGTGCATATGTATATGTGTGTGTGTGTGTGT